GTTAGAACCAGTCTTTAAATGGCATTTTACTGTTTCTCTTGCACTTCTAACCCTGCTTTCTAGAGAGAAGTCCTAACACAACTCATAAAAAAGATTCTCACACAGCTAGGGATCACAAATACAGTGTAAACATAGAGTCATTCCTGACCTGTTATTTACCTGCCATTGTGTTTGTGTGGCTTTGGTTCTTGAACACTCCTGTTGGAAAGAAAACATACAATTCTCAAAAAAAGAAAGTACTGAAAGTGTGTGTGTGTGTGTGTGTGTGTGTGTGTGTGTGTGTGATTAAGGGACTTTTAGTCCCAATAGAAACCACTTTACAAGTAGCTGCATTATTGTGTGCAACAACATAACCATTTTCTGTAAAAATAGAAGCCTGCAGAGAAACCTCTTTAAAGTTATTAAGTGAAGTTACTTTGATCAGACAATTTCAGAATGTTCTGCAAGACAGTTCAGCATGCGGGGAGTCCTGTTCCTTTCAAAAACTGATGTGTGCCTTCCTTTTTTCAAATGTGTTTGAGCATTCTGGAACTTTCTGTTCTCTCTCTCTCTCTGTCTCTCTGCATCCAAAGGAAGATGTCAATGATGAATTTGGGGAGCTAATCCAATGGGTAAAGTGTGTGTGTGTGTGTGTGTGTGTGTGTGTGTGTGTTTGTGTTTGTGTGTATCTTTACACACACAGGTCTAGCCAATGCCTGTTCCACCCTTCTGTGACACCAGAGCAGATAAGCCAATGACAGCCAGAGGACTTGTCTGCTAGCCCCGCCTTTGCTTCAACAGACAAAAATGTTGTTGTTGTATACACACCCTTTTGGACTATTAACTGATTTGTAACTGTGTTCAGTTGGCTAGATTACAGATGCAACTTTATACGTATTATTAATTGACATAACAAAGTTATATTAGAATACTCTTTGAGAAAAAATAGAAACGAACCATAATTACAATAAAACAGTAGTGTATAAAGACATTATTGTATTTAATGATATAAATTTCTGGTTTGGTTGTTGGGGTCCCACTTTCAGAGGCATTTGGCAAGTACATAACAAATACACAAGTAAATAATTTGCCGTAAGTTCTGATGAACCGATGTAGGAAGATTTCAAAGAAAATGCAGAATGATTTAGGAACTTCTTTAATTATACAGAAGAAAAGTAGATTAAATATTTTCTCGTATTAGACTTTCTCACATTCCATCTGCCTCTCTAGAACCAACGCGGCAATCATGCTTCATGCCAAAGTCTTAATAACTCAGTTACTTCCCTCTTTCATGCTATGAGTCATCACAGGACCAATTCAGTTTCAAGTATTATCAGTCACTAATTGGAGGGTTAGTCTTACAAATGAAATATAAAGCAACATCTTCAGCATGTGGGTCATGCAAGAAGCTGAACAGAAAGTGCCTTCAAGAAGAAGGACCAGTGCTGCGATATACACAAAGTCTCAGCATCTGTAACAATTAACATTATATAGTTCCTATGATGTAGTCTGCAGGCTTCTTTCATTCTATAACTTCAAAAAACCACAACATATATTGCTCGTTATTAGCTTTGAGCATAGTGTGACAACTTCTGAACTGCCACAATATAAATAGGTGGGAAATTATTTCAACAGCCTGATCTATGCTCTGCAGTGCAGTATCAGCACTGATATTCAATTCAGCAATTGCCAAAGCAGTAGTGGTAAGGCTGTAAGTACTTCTTTTTTTGGCAAGACAGAGTTTTCACTGCACAAAGCAGATGAAATTTTAGAGAATTTGCAATGTGTATATTTTGTGTGTGTCTTAATATACATTTCTATAGACATTCACATATAGAGAAAGACTGGGAAAACTTGCCAATGCACTTCAAGTTTCAGATGCTGCAAGTATTAGCTATTGGTTATAGGCAAATACTTCTGAGAATAGCCACGGTGTATTAAATGCATTCTGAAATTAGTTTTCACTAGCCAGATACTTTCCTAGACACCTATCCTATCCCATCCCATCCCATCCTAGAAGCAGTGTTGTCCAATGCCCATTGGGAGTGGTAGGGTAGAAAGCATAGAAGCTAACAGCAGTTGCAGCCTTAACCAGTGATACACATCTAAGTCTACCGTTGTACTCCATCCTCGCCCCATGCAGAATTCTATAAAGGTAGCTCTGAGATGAAGGAATCATCCAGTCATAGAATTGTATAGTTGGAAGGGGCCACAAGGTTCATCTAGTTCAGGAATCTTTTGCCCTGTGGGGGCCTCAACCCATGACCCTGAGATTAAAAGTCTCATGCTCTACGAACTAAACTACACCCTTGAGTAGTTTGGAAGCAGGCAAGTGGGGACTGGCTGATGGCAGACTGAAGTTAGTGGGGCATTGCCCTGTTCACCTCAATAGACCAGCCTCCACTCCCTAGAAGATGAACATACAATGTTTTTTTTCCATCATTTGTGCATTGCTGTGCATCATCATCATCATCATCAAAATCATTTTCATTATTTTATGCAAACTTTAACAGTGCCAAAGTAAGTTGATATCGAATCCAAAAGTCATAATTATTACCCACACTAGCTTTTCTATTTAACGTTAACTCCACTTTGAAATAATTAAATGTTTTGCTTTAGTGTTCTTAGTAAGTTCACACTGCTATATAGTTATTTTTTCTTTTTGCTATTCTTGTTGCATGGATATTTGGATACTTGAGGATTTAATCTGGTCTGTATTTTGAAATGAACTGATCTGATCAACGCATACTGGATTAATGGGCGGATTGCACTGCAGCTGTCCTTTGGATATCACACACCACCTTTTTCAGTGTAGTTCTCACTTCAAAATATGTATTTTTAGATTGATAGATTTAGAAACATCTGTTTTGAGAGAAAATGCATTTAGAAATCCATATTTTGTGGGGAAATACATTGAAAATATGTATTTCAATAAAATGGATTTTTTTTTATTTCACCTATCCCCCTTTGTTTCCCACCCCCTTTCATTGTTAAATTTGCTTTTTTAAAAAAATAAACATGAATTTTCATGTGGATTTAAAGCAGAATCAGTACTGTATAAACATGGACTCATGAAACCAACATAAACAGGAAATGGGTGGATTCATCCACTCTTAGTTTAAATATCAGCATACTGTACCCTCAAATCTCTTAATTAGGCTGGGGAATTGGTCTTGGGAATGCATTCAACCTACATACCAAATAAGCAATGAAATGTGCTGATTGAATATATGTGGGTACCAATTTATGTATGATTTGCCGAATCTTCACAACCTTTTCTTCCAAACCTTAACAAGCAGAAATGTGTTCTCTGTGATATCGTTTGCTTCCACCATTGCTCACAAGCCGGGAGGCACTTTTATCCACTTATTCACAAGCCAGGAGGGACTTAAGAACTACAGGATATCTTGGGAGGAAAGAAATAAGACTTCTCAAGTCTGCCAGCCCCTGTCACTTCTGAGGCTGTATACCAGGTAAGTCTATCACAGTCTTCCAATTCAAAATATGTACTTGAAAGTTTCAATATAAAGCGAGTAGAGGAAATAGCTGTTACATTAAATACATCACTGACTTTTCTAGATAACACTGTTACAATCCTAAAATGCAGGTGTGGCTATAGGAGGGTAGCATTGAGGGACGGAACAGTAGTGATTGCTGTGATAATTGTGCACAGTGACAAGCCTAGGAGAAGGAAGTGGGATAAGCCTAAGCAGAGAAAATAGGGGAAGCCCATAGGACAGGTTCCTGTGATGAAAAATGCAACCTATGCCAGCCATTTTTCTCTTGACAGGTTTGTGAGGGCCTTTTAAGTTGTGGTGCCTTGTATGTGAACTCCTCCCTCCGAGGTGGCTTGCTTTTCACCAAACCTTTTCTGTCACCAGGAAATGCCTTTTTAGTTGTCCAGGCCTTTCAGAACACACATGAAATGCTTTTCAAAGGATGTTTTTTTCTGATCTTGCTTCTGTTGCCCTGTTGATTTTATTGTCTCTCATATTTTTAATGCCTTTTGCAAGCTGCCTTGTGAGTTTTATAAACTCATAAATTGTTTAAATAAATAAATGGTCAGGAGAGGCTTAATTTTTTCATGGCTTAATTTAGGATCTTTATAATTGTCATTTACATTTTTAATGTATTCAGTTATGTGATAGATGCGTTAAAAGAGTAGAACACTGCCAAAATAGACAAGGGAAAGAAAATGGAATGGGCAGTCTGGGAAAATGAGAAAACAAAATATCTGCCAATTCCAAAATGTTTTTGATCAAGATTCCCTTGCTGAGTTTCATGTTATACTATACTTCAAAAATCTTCCAAAAATTTGATATTCTGGGTGACTTGAGTCCTGACTGTGACAACATTTTTAAGACCAATGCAAAACATATCAGTTGAGTCAATATTGCGTAGTGGATTGAGTGCCGGACTAGGAGTGAGGAGACCAAGGTTTATATCCCCACTCAGATATGAAGCTCACTGAGTGACCTTGGCTCAGTCACAAACTCTTAGTCTAACCTGTCTCACAGGTTGCTTTGAGGATATAATTGTGAGCAGGGAGGCTTGTGTGCTACCTTTTGCTCCTTGGAGGAAGGATGAGGTATAAATGAAATGAATTAGTAGTAGTAGTAGTAGTAGTACTACTACTATTTTGCCACCCATCTGACTGGGTTGACCCAGCCAATCTGGGCGGCTTCCAACAAAATATTAAAAACACAATAAAACATCAGTCATTCAAAGCTTCCCTGAACAGGGTTGCCTTTAGATAAATAACAACACCCCCCCCCCTTGGCAAAAGAACTAAAATAACTATTTCTGTTTTCTGCTCAAGACAAAAGATTGTGTTGCAACTCCTCTGAAATCCATGATGCCTGTTTTTGCCATTATAGGAGACAAACTCATATTTACGGACACGCAGATGTGACGGAAAACCACTTACAACACCTCAGGGGGCTTGTACATGCTTCAAAATATATGTTTTCCTCACCCGTGGCTAGTGGGCCCAAAATGGTGAGACTCAAGTTATGCAGGAAGCATCATAGCTCAGTGGTAGAGCATCTACTCTGTATTCAGAAGGTCTCAGGTTCCATCCCCGGCATCTCTCAATAGGGCTGGGGCAGAATCTCCCTGCTTGACACCCCAAAGAGCTACTGCAAGTCAATGAAGAGAATACTGAGCTTGATAGACAAATGGTTTGACTTGGCATAAAACAGCTTTCTATGTTCCTAATTTGTAGTGTTACAGATTTATACAGAGTGTGATGTTTTAATAATTTTGGTCAGTTATGTATGATTTCCATTTGCAGTACAAGTTGATACTATCCAAAAAGGTCTATAATATACATAGCCATTCTTCTTGTCATGTGTCTCTTAGCTTTCTTGTAAGGATTTCTTTCTTCAGATTATCAGCTGATTTTTATTATTTTATAAGTCTGTCTTTCTTTCTTTCTTTCTTTCTTTCTTTCTTTCTTCTTTTGAGTGGTGCTTTGTACTCATCACTCCCCTGCTCCCACAAAAGCGTTATCATTAAAAATAAGTAAATGTCAGCATTTTTTTCTGGTAACAGCATCCGTTAGAAAGAGGAGGAAAGGACAAAGTGTTGGTTAAAAAAGAAGTGTCCAATACATAAAAGGGATGAAGAATTTAAACAGATGGTATCATTGGACTATATATATATATATGTAAATATATATTGAAACAGCCTCCAACTCGGATTGTGAATATGACTCTCAAAGCATAACTGCAGACAGTTATAAAAATAAAGTGACTGTGAAGAACAGTTGCTCGGTTTCGTTTTGTGATAATGTGCTGTGCTGGTCCTTTAAACCTACAATTGGAAGTGAGGAGAGAGCAGAGGAGTTTTTAAACAGGAACTTGGCCATAGCACAAAGAGCGATAGAAACTTTCATGCTCAGTTTGTCAGCTTGCCAGTCCTGCTAAACTGCAAATGCAGTACAATGCAGTACACCCACTCCAATGTAGTACATCTACAGCAATGTTGGATTTGGGCCATTAGTGTCATGGCAGCTATCCTTTGGAACTTTCTCCCTTTATATATCAGGCAGGCGCCTTCTCTCGTGTCCTTTTGGTGTCTATTCAACACATTCCTCCTTCTACAAGCCTTCTAAGTGGAGACTTTTAATTCCAGTGGGTATCTGTATTGGATTTGAATGTAGATATGTAATTGTTTATTGCAGGGATTGGGGCCTGTGGCACATCAGCCTTAGCCAGCATGTCCAATGGTCAGGAAGGATGGGAGTTGTAGTCCAACAAATATCTGGAGGCCATCATGTTGGCTACCCAATTTAGAAGTACTTGTGCATGACCTCTTTGCATGCTTCTCAGCTTGTAAATGGGAGATGTACTCTAGCAACTGAAGGGCCAAAGGTTCCCCATCCCTGGTTTTTTATTGTAGAATTAACCTGTGGCCAAAGTATAATGCTTCTTTCTTGTGTCTCTTTTTGCACGTTTTACATAGAGTCTACAAAAAAGAGAGGGTGGTTTCATGGAGAGAGGCAAAACAGATTTCAAAAGAAGGTGTGGGGGTTCAATCTCATAAAATGATTAAAGAACTGCCTTGTAAAGATCCCTTTGCTAATCATCGGTGGGAACAAACACTGCTCACTCTACTGTTTGGATTAAATTTAGCATATGCACAGGAGAAATATGGTACTATATCAGGCAGGTGTAGATGCTTGGTTGTACTTCTGCAGGGCCAACTCAATGCATTTTGGCACCTGAGGTGAACCATAAAATGATGTGTGTGTCCCACCCACCTGCCAAGGAAGAAGGGGTGAGCGAAGGTGTACATTGCAAACAAGAGCAGAGTGGAGATCTGCATTGGGAACAGGGGAGGGGCAATCACATTGACATTACCTGATGGTTGAAGTGGGAATCAAAGGCTGTCATGGGGTTGTGGGGAAGAAGCCAGCTGAATCATGCCAGGCATGTGCAGAGCCCAGGAGACACCAGAGGGCAGCCCCTGCCATTTCCTCCCTGGAGATGGGAGAAGACCAGCAGCACCTCCTGTTCTCCTTGAGGTTGCTGTAGAGGTGGCATTCTGGGGGGTGCTGAGGAGGAGGCAGATCCAGTGTCCAAGGTGTGTGCCACAGCTGTCATTGATACAGGGACAGTGGTGGTGGCAGTGCATTCCTTGGCAGCTGGCTCTGCTGCCCCTGTGGATCCTGCCACCTGAGGCAGTCACCTCACCTTGCCTCATGGGTGGGATGGTCCTGCACTTCTGAATGCAACAGAAGCTGGAAAGGCAACCAGTGAGGTACAGTTGGCATTGCCAATGATATATACACAGTAAACACAAATGACTTACCTACAATTGAGAGTGAATCCACGGGGTAGATTACCATTGGGTGCACATTGGTGTTATGCTATGGATGCAAACTGCATTCTGCCCTATTCGCATCTGCAGTGTGGAGAGGTAAGACCGAAGTATCAGCATGGTGTTTCTTTCTCCCTTTTTAAAGCCATTCAATTTAATTATTTGGTTGTTAACACCTAGAGAAAAATGCTGTTCAATAAAGTGCATATAAGTCAGATTTCTTCCCTGCTGACATAGTGATCCCTGAACACTTCATAGTATATTTATGCCTTCATTTCAGCAAGCCTGTATGGAAAAACACAGTATGACTCGACATGAGTGGCTACTTTTTAATTGGCATTTATTCAGCTTTCTCTCTTTTCACACCTCTGGTTTATAAGTCTGTGTTAATAATTTCATTCCTTGCATTCAAAACACTTGACTTTGCTCTCAAGCTAACACACCTTGAGTTAATCAGGTTGTTCTCAACACAGGAGGGACCTTCTGGTCTGGATATCACGGGGAATTGATAATAAGCAGCATAATGGTTTCATTCATTATCCAAATATAAAAAAAAATTCAACAGTGAAATGATCAGACTGTCCCCATTCCAGTTTCTATGACACCTGCCCAAATAATACACAGACTCCAGCAAAATATTTATTTATGACCTTGCTTATTTATTCAGGTCATGTCACTGAGTCCTACAATTGTTAAAACATTCCCTTCGAAAATGTGACACTGGTTCACTTCCCATCAAAATGCATGGGTCTCAGGCAGGCAAAGCATTTTGAAGATCATGACCAAAGCATTTTAAAAGAAAACTGAAGTTAATGTGGGTTATTCTTGGAAAACCAAGCCTGCATTCCTATGCACCCTTTTGCTATGAACACAATGGAACTTACTCTTGAGTAGACATGCATAGGATTTCACTGTAAGCGACAGAGCTCTGGCTTTACACATGGTGGCAAGTGCAGCACGTTTCTGATGCGCCTAACCTCCTTCCATCACATGTGAACCAAAGCATCCAAATGCATGCAAAAGCATGTCCCACCTGTGCAATCCATCTGCCTGTTCTTGGTAGCCAGTGTTTAAGGTTGCAGCCTAGAGCTTATGCACATACAGTGGTACCTCGGGTTACATACGCTTCAGGTTACATATGCTTCAGGTTACAGACTCCGCTAACCCAGAAATAGTACCTCAGGTTAAGAACTTTGCTTCAGGATGAGAACAGAAATCATGCTCTGGCAGTGCGGCAGCAGCAGGAGACCCCATTAGCTAAAGTGGTGCTTCAGGTTAAGAACAGTTTCAGGTTAAGTACGGACCTCCGGAATGAATTAGGTACTTAACCCGAGGTACCACTGTATTATTTTTAATTTAATTTATTTCAAAACATCCTGTGCTGATAAGTGTCATTATATACTTTAGCTGCTAGGTGGCATTGGACACTGTTGTGTCAGGGTAGAGTCAACTAATCTCTGTCGTTTCACAGAATCATAGAACTGTAGCATTGGAAGGGACCCAAAAGCTCTTCTAGTCCATCATCCTGCAATGCAGGAATCTCAGCTAGTTCATACATGACAGGTGGCCATCAAACCTCCGCTTAAAAACCTCCAGTGAAGGAGAGTCCACCACCTTCCAAGGGAGTCTGTTCCACTGTCGAACAGCTCTTACCATCAGAAAGCTATTCCCCTCAACGCTTCTGTAAAAGAGGAATGCAACATTCGTCCCTCCTAACCTAAATAGCCAGAACTATTTACATTTTCAAGAGGCATAAATTGCCTTTGTTGTATTCTGTTCCCTTTTTTATGTTGTTGCAAGTCTGGATGCATTAAACAGATGCTTGATATATGTGACAGCAGAACAACTATCTCGCCCCTCTGAGCTGGGGAGCCAGATGTCTGTCATGTGGATCTCAATGGACATGAAGCCTTGGCTCTGGAGCTTCTCTCTCAGTCCCCAGATGGAGGCCCAAGTGGAGATGCCATTCCTTGCTTGACAGCTTAGCTAGATGATTCTATCACCAGACCACCAGGCCTGAATTCCCCCCTGGGGCCAGGTGCCATTCTTAAGGGAAGAAAGCTAAACATGTGGGAGAAGATCAAAGGGAGTGGACATGGTTTATTATTCTTGTTTCACTAAACATCCATTCACCTTCTGATATAAAAAAGACAAGATAAAAATTGGTAAGGCTATCCATAGGCAGAGGGGTGTTTTCTGTGTGCGAGTGTGTGCTACTCAAGACAACCTTTGTAATTGTATAGCTCCTTCAATAATCTGTCAAAAGCTGCCATCGCTGGGTAAAGAAGAGCTGTTCATTTCTGTATCTCATCTTGGATTGATGTATGTGCCACTTCCCTCCTCCCCTCCCCCCATCCTTCAGCTCAGGATAACATTTGCCCTTTCATGTTCTCAGTTTAAGCCACTGGGAATTGAGAGAATTTCAAAGGATAATTATACCAATCTGCATATAAAAGGCTGGATGTCCTACAGAGGCTTCAGTCGAAAAGCAAACTCTTCCCAAAGATGAAAATGAGAAATGAGAAGTAAATCCCAAAACTAAAGATTCAATAAAGTTAATGCATTTTTCATCTGATGGGGTGAATGTGGGTTTGTAAAGTGACTGGGAGATTTGCTAAGCCACTGCCTTGAGTCAGTCTTCTGACATAAAAAGGGAGCTGTAATGGGCCCCCCAAACTCAATCTTTCCCTTGGTTTGCGCTAGTTTATTGACCTTCAGGGCATGCTGCAAGGTATACTTGTTAGCATTAGATGAGAATGAGAATGGAGGG